CAAAAACTATCATTCATTTATGCGTATAAGACTCACCCTGTAGGTAGGTACAGGGACGCAAAAAAGTGAAAATACTGCTGCATATTAATTGCCTAAATTAATTTTGATTTTTTATTGACTGATAATTAGTGCAGACATTGCTTTTTTCGGATGAAATTTTTAAGGGCTTATTGTTTTAGAAGTTATTCTTGAGGTTTGATTCTCGCCTCACGAAACAATGGGAAAGTTATTAAAAAAATCAATTTTACAACAATTTAAACGCTTATTTTACAGCGTCTCAAAAAACCTTAAAAACACGGATTTTATTATTAAGATTTTGTTGAACATAAACAATTTTATGGTACAGAATAATTCATTGAGAAATGTTGCAAGGGGTTTTCTTGTGTCTGCTGAGTTAAAATTGATATTGATTTTTTTCTTGGGATTGCAATTATTTTTAAGTCGTTAAAACTACCTGTCAACTCGGGGCCGAGATTTTAAGGGCAGATTTTGTTATAGCTACCTATACCTATCCAGAGAATACGCAATACGTATCTGATCGAATATCCCAGACAGAATTGGAAAGAAAAATGAAAAGATTGTATCAACGAAATTGCTTTTATTTCTTGGTTGACACCGCTGTCGATTATTTGTTGGGTCGGCGGCTCGTGAATATTACTTCAATATGAGTTACGTCTGGCTTGCATATGTTACCTCGCTTACTGGACTCTCTCCACTCTCATATTATATGGAAACCGGATGTATCGGAAGTAAACTTTCTTCGTCTTAAATTCCGTGGGTCAGTTTTTCAATAGATGCCTACGCTAAATTATGCGACACATAGACCATACACCCATACATAATGGAACTGTGGAACGGAATTCAATAAGAAATCTGAGTTACGGGTGAATTTCAGCAACCAATATCCGATAAAATAAAAATAGGCCCAAGAGCTATCTCGACTGCGACATATACTTTTAAAATATGTTGGTATATTTTCTGCAGTTTTTGTATATCCTTGCGTCTAAAACTGATCTCGCGGCAATTGGAAAAGGATGGCTTTTTCACGTATTATAAGTTCTTCTGACAATATTCTTCAGTGGCAGGTGCCCAGCCTGCTATATTTCCAATAACCAATATCCTGCGCAATCCGTAGCGACATAAACTTCGTTATTCATTCAGTTGATTTGGTTGCGTTATCAACGCCTACAGATGACAAGACTAGGATAATACCAAGCATCTACTTTTTAGATTATAAATCTACACGTCTATTTTTTTTAAATTAAGTAAAAAATATGCGAGATAGTATTGATCGAGTTTGATTCGGTAAGATGTCACCTTTCGGGACCTCTCCCAAAATCTCTCATTTGTCATGAGAATGGCCGTCTTTAATGCATTGTACGCGCAAACATATGTGCATGCACCTATTTCCCCTCTTCGACTCGTATTTAGGGTTCCAGAATCCGTTTCGTGTGTCGTTGACGACGGCATAAACCCTTGTGTTTGAGCGAAAAACAATATCTCTCGAAATAAAAATACAATAAGAGTATAGTATCAATTGTTGGGCGTCGGATGATGGCGGTAGCAGCAATTGGGTGTTTGAGGCTAAGAGAGATGCCGTCGATGGTTGTTGGGGAGGCAACGGGTGGCGTGTTAGAGGTGTTGGTATTGCGCGGAGCGTCTCTGCGTGTCCGC